AACTTCAGCAATCTGGTCTAATCTTATGGCTCCTCATTTTCTTGTTCATTCTGTCTTTACCCATGTCTAGCTTGTACTCTTCAACCAGTCTCCATAAAACTCTCCTAGCAAAACTGCCTCCTCTCTCTCATTCTCTGTGCTGCCCCCTCAAGTGGCTTCTGTAAAAGGAACTTTTACTCACCTGTTTGTTGTCTTGGAGGATCACTGCCTCTGTCTGCTACTTTAGGCCTAGTCCTGAACATTTCTAGTCTCTGTACTAGGCCTCTAACCTAGGCCTAGAATGTTTTCAGCCTCTGACACTTACTGCTGAATGAGCTCGCCCTTTCTAGTTCTTTCTGAGCTCATAGCTGGCTGGTTCAACTCAGCTGTTCTGGCTCAAACTCCTCTCCCAGCTGAGTTTTTCAATCAGGCTTTTCTCTCCTGGCCTCTGAATTGCTCTGCTTGGCCTCAAACTAACTCCAGCCACCTTTTCCAATCTTCTGCCTCCTTCTCATTCTCTGGCTTGTTCTGTCTTTCCCTGTGTCTACCTTGTTCTTTCATTCAACCTTTCTCTGTAAAACTTCCTCCTCTCTCTTTCTCTATGCTGTTTTTCTTAAGTAGCTTCCCTTTCCTCCCTGTTCTTGTGAGAACTCGGTTTATTCTATCCTGTCAAATCTTTGATTAGTCACCTTTTCAGTTAGGAATCACTTTGAAACATGAGTGCTTCCTTCTATAAACTATCTTTACCTTCATTGTTTGGGATTAAAGATGTGTGCCACCATGCCTGAACCTAAGCTTTTACCTGAAGTTTGTTCTGTTCCAAGCTGGCCTTGAACTCAGATCTGCTTGCCTCAGTCCCCTGGATTAAAGGTGTGTTTGTATTCCAGCTGGATCACAGACCTAGAAGGTCTTTGGATGTGATCTCTGGCCAGAGCAGCCATGTTCTGAATTAAAATTCCTCTACAGGCTTCCTTTTCCTCTCTCTTCTTGAGAGAATTGGGTATATCCTATTCTGTCAAATCTTGTTCTGATTCATCACTTTTTCTGCCACTCAATTAGACATCACTTCCAAACATGGGTGCTTCCTTCTACAAACTAACTTTACCTTTGTTGTTTGGGATTCAAGGCCTGAACCACCATGCCTGAACCTAAGCTTTTCTTTCCTTGAAATTTGCTCTATACCAGTCTGGCCTTGAACTCAGATCTGCTTGCCTCTGTCTCTCGGGATTAAAGGCGTGTGCCACCACTGCCCTGTGTGTCTATATTCCAGTCAGTTCACACAGACCTATAAAGCTCTTGGGATGTGATGTCTTGCCAGAGCAGCCATGTCCTGAAATAAAATTCTGCTACAAGTACATACACATGCTGACACACGGCATGTGTACAGGCAGACACATGCTGCCACATGGGTACACAGTGTCAGACAGGCAGACACACACTGTCATACGGGTGTACACTGTCAGACAGTTACGCTGGTCAGACAGGCACACACATTCAGACCAGTACATACAGTTAGCCAGGAGCACATTGTCAGAGAGGAATACAGAGTAAAATAGGCATACCCAATCAGCTAGGTGCACACTGGGCACAAAAAGTAAAGGAGCAAAGGGCACTTGTGAGATATGGAAAAGCTCTGTGTGAATGAATGCGGCCAAAATTAAAGAAAACCACACAGTTAAGCTTACTGGGCTGCTTTCTCTTTGGTGTTAAAAATTACCACTTTTAATTTGGAAGGTAAATATTTGAATATGAATGAAAACTTATACCCAAAGTTAGTCAGACTAAGTCATATTCTTCCAACTTAAAACCACAAAGCAGTCACCCATCCAACTGTCGAAATGCTTCCAGGGCACGCCACCTTGCTGCGGTCCAGTGTTTGAGCCACTCAGTCCATCAGGTCAGCCGGTCTCAGGAGGCTGACCATTCTGGTTTAAATGACACTGGCAGAGGAGAAGATGAATAAGTATCCCACAGGAAGAACTGTGTGCCCTGGGAATGAGAGTGTAGGACCAATTACAGGGCACAAAAGGAAGAAGGTGGTTGGTCTAAGCAGGAGTCTGTACCTAGAGAAAACACTATTTTCACAGTGAGAGTCTGGAAAATTACCGTATTTGTGTGTGAGCACGAATAACTGAGCACACCTGTGGAGGCCAGATCTCCCTTCCACCTTCACAGGGGCTCTGGAGGTGGAATGCAGATGTCCAGGACTGCAAGACAAGTGCCTTTACCTGCTGAGCCATAGTAGCCTTTAAGCATCTTACAGACCTTGTCTTCAGTTTCTGGAAGAACCCTGGAGGGCTGAACAGATAGCCCAGCAGTTAAGAGCACTGGCTTCTTTTCCAGAGTGCCAGTATTCGATTCCCAGCACCCACAAGGCAGCTAACAATCTGTCACTCCATTTCCAGGGTACCCACCACCCTCTTCTGTACAGATATACATGGCAGACAAAACATCTGCAAAAATAAAATAAATAAAGCTTTACTTAAGCAAACCATATATGTCAACCCAATTGTCTTACATAAAATCTGTAATAAACAAATCTTAAATAAAGTCTGTAATCTCTTTGACAATGTGATAGGATCTCATCCATCAGATATTTTGAATCCACAGACGCTGGCTAAGGATCTGTCTCCAAACTTAAAGCAAGAGAAACCCAGTTCCAAGTCATTCAGCCAGCTAAGTAGCTCTTGCCAGAAAATGCAGGTGGGCAGGGCCAGGATGGATTTTCCATATAAGAACATTTTAAAACGTACTAGTGTGACAGGATGCTTCTGCTGAATGGGACCAAGCAACACAGGAAAGGGCACCCAACCCAAGTCCCAAATTAGACAAAAAAAAAAAAAAAAAAAAAAAAACTAAAGCCAAAAAAAGCCAATATTTAAACTACTATATGTAAATTTTTGAGTTTACAAGAGAACTTGATACTTTAAGTATAAAATGAAGTCACCAATTTTCTGTCCCTATAAAAGGGAATGACTCTACAGAAAGACAGGAAGCTACACATTGATAAAAGAGTTTCTGCTAAACTGTGCTAAACTGATGGTGTTTTAGTCACCTAAGGATGTGACCTCTAATAACTGAATGACAAATGTTATCGTTTCCCCCATGTGACAGTCCAGATTTTATTATTTTTAGTTCTTGCCAAACCTTTCAGAGTTGTAACAATTACTAATAAACAATGGGAATCACAGAAAAATGACAGAGAGGTGAAAAATCATTCTACCTCTCTGTTTCATTAACAAAACTCCTCAGCCCAGATTGGTCTCTGTTCAGTAACCTTTGTCCTTCCCTGGGTTGTGCACGACATCACTAATTCACACTCTGTCTCTACATTAAGCAAGAACTGTTTCCAGAGAACTCTTTCAGTCACATGGCCTATGAGTACAATGCTCCCAACCACTCTGTACAACTCAGTAACACGATAAAGAAGTGTTTGCTCTCCGTGAATAAACCACAATGGCAAACACACTGAGGCATCCACCGAGTCAGGGCCTGTGGCGAGATACCAGACAATGCTACAGAATGGTTGGCTCCAATGGCCAGTAATCCAATATGGTGGCTTTTCTCAAGCTGAGGAATGAAACCTAGATCTGGGGCAACGGAAAGACACGGCCTTCGGAAATACTGGTTTGCCATTCCTTCTGATACTATTACAAGCTGCATTCTTGTCGGCTCTTGCACCAAGACAAAGATCAGGGTGGCATTCAGCATTCCATTTCATCACCCCTCAAGCTACCCCGGGTGATGGTGGGCCAAGGTGACAAAGGCTGAGTGGCACTATTGTGACAGGATTTGTGCTAAGGATGCGAGTAATACTATCGACCAAGTGGAACACAGGCAAGTCAGCTGTGAAAGAACTGCAAATGATGAGGGAAAAGTTCCTAGTTAAAGGCTTGAGACTAATTAACCAGGAAAAAAAAAAAAAAAAAGAGGCGTTCCCAGGTTCCCAGGACTACTAGGAAAAGATAGATAAATGAGAGCACAAAGGACTCTTTTTAGGGTAGTAAAACCACCCTAGATAACACTACAATGGCAGACACATGTCATCCATCACACAATTGCCTAAACCCACAGGAATAAATGCCCGGCGTGATCACAAAGTAAGCTAGCCACTCCAGGCAAGGATTCGCTCTGAGGGTGGAGCAAACGCAGTGCTCCTGTGCAGAGGTGACCACAGCGAGGCCATTCATATGGAAAGGACGGGGCAGGTGGAAAACCCATACCTTCTGTTCTGCGTTGATGAACCTTAAAAATTACTCTTTAAAAAAGAAAATGAAGTTTTTTTAAATTAGATCTCAAACTTAGTCCTCAAATTCTCTCTGTCCACCATAACTGTTTACACACACACACACAGAGAAGTTAACTATTGAGAAACACACCCTAGGAGACTCTTGGGGTTTCTTTCTTGCTTTCCCTTCTTGTCTCTAAAACACCACCCTCGGAAAGCCCCATTTACCAAGAAACACATCTTTCAGTGATGTCTATGAAGCTCAAAATTGCCAGGAAATATCCGAGGAAACTCCCTTCAGAGAAATGAGACCTCTCTCCCGAGATGGTCACGTCTGCAGTCTCAAGAAGCAGGCACATGTTCCAAACCACTCAGCCATAGGTCGCCCCGTCACTGAACATTCTTCAGATTTCTCAGGAAAAGCCAGCCCTCACTCTGACTTGCTGGTTACACTCCGACTTTAAACAAAAGAATATGACCACCTACCCGGCCTCGGGCCCCTCCCTCTGACATGTGTCTAGCGCCTGAGAGAATGGGCAGGCTCGACCCAGGGCCAATGTCACCATCCTCCCGGGGTTCTGTGCAACCACCTGAGACTTGGAAACGTTTTGGAAATGAAGAGAAGGTGTTCCATGTTGCTTTGGCTTGCGCTCCGGTCACCCGGGGTTTACCCTGAAAGGCTTTCCTGGAAAGCCTATGAGGCTACAGAAACATCCTGGAACGTGAGACCCAAGCACCTCCAAGAAACGCACTGTAAGGCAAACCATGGGATCCCCAGCCCCTCTCCACCTACCTGGGAAAGCGTGTGGGTTGGGTGACCCTCTCTTAAGGCACTTAGAACAGAGGATGTGCACCGTATAGTGCAGTCCGGGCCATTCCTGAAGTAGGACATTCAGTTCCTCTACCAAAGGGGTGATGGCTTGCCACGCGGTCCATATGTTTGGTAAGGACGCATGGCTGGCAATGGACAGGGTGTCTGGCTGCAGGACCCCCTTGGCAGGCCTGTAGCTCACCACCACAGGGACTTTCCCTCTGTAGGCGAAGATCTGAAACTTCCCATCTGACCTATGCACCACGTGGCTGTTGATCTGGACGCTGTAGCGTGCGAACAACCCGGGGGGAAAGGTAAAGGGGAAACTATATTCGATCTGCAACTGTTCGGCCACAAAAGACTGCCCGGCTAGGTTGGTCCCGTTAATCCAGGCCTCCGCGTGGGGCACCTCGTTCTGCACGTAGCAAGGGAACTTGTACCAAGCGGTGGAGCCGTTCAGGGGCTTGCCTTTGGGTTTGTTGAGGCAGTAACAGAGCCCCATCTTCTCCAGCAGCTCCAGCAGGAGCTGCAGGTCCTGCTGGGCCTGCACGTGAGGCTTCAGCAGGAGCCGAATGACGTGGGCCGGCAGGAGCCCGTGCAACAGGAAGCCTTCCACGTAATGATGAAGCTGGGTGGCCCGGAGTGGGTCCTGCCCCGGGCTGGGCGCTGCCGGAGCGAGGATGCTCTCCGCTTCCCCCTCGCCCTCTCCACTGGTCCCCAGGAGCAGTTTATGCAGCAGCAAAGAAGCGTCTCTCTGGAAGAAGACATTGAGGATGTCGATGAGGCGGGTGAGGTTGTGGAAGACGTGCTCCTTGAGGGCCGGGCTGTCCTCGAAGTAGAGCAGCTTGCCGCTCTCGTGCAGGTAGGACAGGGCGCTCTGCAGGCGGTCCTCGGTGAGGCCGGCCTGCAGGCCCAGGCGGGCCGAGTCCCACCAGCTCAGCCACAGCCTTTGCGCCTGCGGGGGCTGGAAGTGCAGTTCCTCCAGCACCTGCCAGGACCGGGGCAGGACTCGGTGTAAGTTGGGGAAGATTTCCCGGTGCTCCGCTACGGAGAGCAGCTTGTCGCGGAGGCGTTGCAGCTGGTGGGGGTCCCGGCAGCTGACCGGCAACACGGGAGACAGGATCTGCAGCCGGTGGTTAAGCAGGTACTGAAAATGGGCCTTGCGCCTCCGCAGGTTCTTGTCCGAGACCCCGTAGTAGGCTGCATGCGGGCTGGCCGAACGCAGCTCGAAGTCCCGGGCCAGGGCCTCGTCCACCACCTTGGCTAGCTGGCTTAGGCCCTCGGCATCGTGCTTCTCCTGCAGTGCAATCTGCCGGTGGATGTCCAGACACTTCTCCTCCAGCTCCCGCTCCCCACACAGGTCCGCGTGCGTGCCCACGATGCACACGACGGCGTGAGGCACGCGGGCCCCCACCCGATGCAAGAAGGAGCCCACCGTCGTGGGGAAGGAGCGGGGTTCGTAGGTGGCCAGGTTGACCACGAGCACATACAGGGCCCCCGGGGAGAGGAAGAAGGGCTGTATCACCTCGTAGCTCTCGTCGCCGGCCAAGTCGTACACGATGAAGCGCAGACCCCGGGAAGCGTCGGCGGTCCAGCTGGTCACCTCGATGCCCTTGCTCCCGAGGGGAGGGAAAGGTAGGTAGCTCTTCTCCTTGTCCCCTCCTCCTTGGCCTCCCTCCACTTTGTCCTCAGTGAGGCAGTGTCGAAGCAGGGTCTTGCCCGCAGCCTTCTGGCCCATCAGGAGCAGCTTGAGGCGGGGCTGCACGGCCGGCTGCGAGTGCGCCAGTTCCTTCTGGTAGGCCGCGATGTAGGGGATCCCCTTCATGCAGACTTCGTAAGGGGGCTGAATCAGGGGGTTGTCCTTGATTTTCCACAAGCCTACCCGGGAGAGCTGGCCGAAGTTGTCAGGCAGAACGGCGATCTGGTTGCCTTGAAGCACCAGCTCCTCCAGGCCCGTCAGCTCCACAATGGAGTCCGGCAGGTACCGGATGCGGTTATTATCCAGCCACAGGGTGAGGAGCCGGCCCAGCCCGGAGATAAGACAGGGCACTGAGGTGAGCTGGTTGCGGCTAAGGTAGAGCTCCTCCAGACCAGCCAGGGGCAGCAGCGCAGCGGGGAACTCCTCAAAGAGGTTGGACGAGAGGTTGAGCATTTTGAGCCTCTGCAGGCGGCTGAACTCGGGGGGTAGAGCCTGCAGCCCGTTGTTGTCCAACATGAGGCTCTCCAAACTGGTCAGCTCACAGAAGCCGCCGGGCAGGGTGCCAAGCTCGGCCCCGCTAAGCCAGAGAATCTTGAGGGCCCGCAGGGCACTGATGTCCTCCGGGAGGCCCCGCAGCCGGTTGCTGGAGACGTCCAGCTCCTCCAGGGCGGCCAGCTGCAGCAGCTGCCGGGGGAAGGCGGTGAGCTGGTTGTGGTCCACGTCGAGGGCGCGCAGGTGGTTGAGGCAGGAGAAGGAATCTGGTAGGCGGGCCAGCCGGTTGAAACTGACATCCAGCTCCTCCAGGTGGGCGAGGGCCCCCAGCTGGGCGGGCAGGGCCGGCAGCTGGTTGTGGCTGAGGTTGAGCTTGCGCAGCTCCCTCAGCGCGCTCAGCACCTCGGCCCCGAGGCCGGTCAGCCGGTTGTGGCTCACGTCCAGCTCGGTCAGGTGGTGGCCCAGCTCCGCCACGGCGGGGGGCAGCCGGACGAAGCGGTTCCTGCGCAAGACCAAGACGCGAAGGCTGCCCAGAGCCGACCCCAGACCTTCAGGCACATCCTCCAGGCCGTTGTTCCCCAGGTTCAGCACCTCGATATCCCCGAGGTTGGCCGGCAGCACCAGCTGGGGGGCTTCGGGGGAGCCGAGCGGGTCGCCCCCGGCCCCTGGGCAGCTGAGCGTGAGCTGGCGCAGGTTGCTCCGCAGCTTCCTGGCGCGCAGGGCGGCGTCCCGCCACAACCTCACCGTCTTCAGGTTACCGCTGTCCTTGCCAGCCATGGCGGGGCCCCGCGCCGACAACCCTCACTCCGGCCCCGGAGCCCGCGGCTGCATGCCGCGCTGCGCCCGGATCCCCGGCCCTCTGGCTCCCGCTGCTCCCGGACCACCACCTCCCCTGCGCGACCGTGGGTCCTAGCGCAGCCGGCGGCGGGGCGCCCGCAGCTGGGGGGCGGCGGCGGCGACGCGGGCGGCTCTGGGGGGCTCCGGGCGGGCGGCGGCTCGGAGCTGGGCTGCGGCGACGCGCCGCGGCTCGCATTCTCCGTGCTCCCGGGCCATGGGCGCGCCGGGCGGCAGGGCCGCCGCCCGCCGCGCCGCGGAGGATGCCTGCTCCTCCTCCTCCTCCAGCTCCGCCCGCTCCGCCGCGCCTCGGTAGCCGACTCCGGCCCCGCTACCCTCGCCGCGGCGGCCCGGGAGCCGGCGGCGTCGCCTCCGCGGGCTGCGGGAGGAGGGCGGCGCTCGGCTCCGCTGCGGGCATACTGCGGGCGCAGGGCCGGGGCGCCTGCGGCGGGGGCGTCTCCTTGTCTCCGTTTCCCCCCGCGGCGGCTCGGGGGCGGGAGCGCGAGCGCCGCGTCCCCGGCGCTGGGAGGGCGCTGATCGGGAAGCTGCAGCGCCGCCCGGTGGAGCGGCCCCCACGTGACCGGCGGAGGCGCCGCTTGTTCCCGGCACCGCCCCGGGGGGCGGGAGTTGCAGGCTGCGAGGTTTGGGCTGGGGGGGGGGGGGGCTGGCCCGGTTGGGGCGGGCGGCGTGGACCTCGCCCGGCGACGAGGCGCGCTGGTCGCGATCCTCGAGGCTCGGTGGGACTCCGGGGTCTCGGGGTTGGGATCCCTGCATCAAGCTCTTTGTTGGCCCTGGGTCTCTGAGGACTTCTTATTCATCCCTGACGTGGAGGACTTAGCTGCTTTCCTTGCTCGTCCCTTCCATGCACCCTGCATCTACACCACGATGGAACGGGCAGGATTCAGGGACCCGGGTGTCAAAGGAGCTTAGAACAAGAGGGCGGTTCAACAGAAGACCCATGGCGGAGAGTAGACAACCTTTAAGCCATACGAAGATAAGTAGTTATTAGGGCCCCTTTGTACTAGGTCAACGGAAGCCTAGTTTTCAGTTCCCCTGGTGTGAGCCCCACCTCTCTGGCCTGCTGTGGGTGGTTGGAGGTCGGAGGTCTCATCTCCGCCATCCCCTTTAGAGTTACAACAGAATGAAACATGCTGCGTCTTGAATCCGACGTTCCTGTTGCTCTGTGGAGTCGAGAAAACGACCGTGCTATCAGGCAAATGTTCGCCGCGCGGTGCTCAGCTTCGGATTCTTTCCATTGACAGGAAGTTGATTTGGAAACCATATCAATACTAAGTAACCTCCTCAGAACTTGTAGAAGCCCGGAAACCTGTCAAGACCATAGGTGTCACCTCCACCCTCGCTTCCCAGCGGACTCATCACCTTATCTGAGGAACCATTGGCAGGCACTGGCTGGTTGAAAAGGACAGTCGCTTTCACTGAGGACACAGCTACTGATAGGTTGCTAATGGCCCGGTAGTTGGCCCCACACCAAGCAAATAAGGACAACACAATTGGATTCAATTTATTCTAGAAAGCAAGCATGCAAAGGAGTGAGAGGAGAGAGGAAGAAGACAAAGGTAGAAGGGAAATGAGGGAGTAAAGAGATCTGAAGGAGGAACATGGTCCTCAAAAGCCTATATGTACGGAGTAAAGCTAGTGTGTGATAAGCAAATAACTAATTCGATTCAAATCCCTGAGACTGAAAACTCATTTTTTTAAAAAATCCCTTGTATTTATTTTTTGAGAATCTCATATATGTATCCACGTTCAGTTTACTTGTCTCTTTTAAAAGAGAATCTTGTAAAGGTAACTTTTATTCCAGTGATGTAATTGTCATCTTGGATGACAATCTCCATCTGCTAACCTAGGCCTGGTCCTGGAAGCTTCTAGCCTCCATACAATCTAACCTAGACCTAGAATCTTTTCAGCCTCTGAGACTGCTGAATAAGCTCACCCTTTCTAGTTCTTTCTGAGCTCTGGCTGGCTTGTTCAACTCAGCTGTTCTGGCTCAAACTCCTCTCCAAGCTGACCGATTCAATCTGGCTTCTCTTAGCTTCGGATTGAATTGCTCTGCCTGGCCTCAAACTAACTCTAGCAATCTGTTCTAATCTACTGGCTCCTTCTCCTTCTTTGGCTGGTTCTATCTTCACCTGTCTCTAACTTGTTCTCTCTTCAAACTCTCTCTGTAAAAATCTCAGGAAAACTAGTTGTGAATTCCATGAGCTGAACTGCCACAAACTCAGATCCACTGCACTGCCTCTCAACTCATTGACTCAACTAAACTGACTGAACAGAACTGACTAGAGCTCAGAGATCTGCATGTCTCAGTCTCCTGAGTGCTGGGATTAAAGTCGTGTACCACTATGCCTCTACATAAGTTTTTCTTTATCTGAAACTTGCTCTAAATCAGGTTGGCCTTGAACTCAGAGTTCTGTTTGCCTCTGCCTCCTGGGATTGAAGGAGTGTCTGTATCCAGGCCAGATCTCTCTGATCTAGAATGTCTTTGGATATGATCTCTTGCCAAGCAGCCACGTTCTGAAACGGACAGAAAAATCCATCCCAGAGATGGATACCAAGCCCTGGGCCTGCATCCTGTAATAAGAATGCTCCCAGGGTTAGTCTTGGGCACCTCAGGTAAAACCCGTAATTTAACAGTCAGCGTTTATCTGCTTTCACTCTGAAGGACTTCCTGAGAAATTAAACACTCAAGGATTCCAGAATTCTCTTAGAGGCGTCGTGAGTGTGTATGTGTGTGCTCTGAATCATGGAGGCTGGCATTTTTGCTTTTTGCAGAGGTTGGAGGGGCCCCCAAAATAATAAGCAACTTACAACTTGCCAGTAAATATTAGAGGGAGGTTTGCCTAGGGAGGACTCCCTAGGTGGGATGGGGCACTTGAGCAGATATGCCCCTCCCCCACCCAAGGAATTTTAATTGAGAACATGGCTCCTCAGGCAAGAGATTTTTATCCTGGTCTGTGTGATCCAGCTGGAATGCAGACATGAAGGACAGTGGCATGCGCCTTTAATCCCAGGAGACAGAGGCAAGCTGATCTCTGAGTTCAAGGCCAGCCTTGAAATGAGTTTTAGAGTGAGTTTTAGATAAAGAAAAGCTTAGGTCCAGGCATGGTGGAACACATCTTTAATCCCAAACAATGAAGGTAAAGTTAGTTTGTGAAGGGAAGCACCCATCTTTGAAAGTGATGTCTAATTGAGTGGTAGGCAAAGTGACGAATCAGAGAAAGATTTGACAGAACAGGATATGCCCAACTCTCATGAAAGAGGAAAGGGAAGCTACTTAAGGAAGCAGGCAGAGAATGACAGAGAGGAGGCAGTTTTACCAGGAGAGTTTTACAGAGAGGTTGAGAATAAGCTAGACACGGGTGAAGACAGAATGAGCGAGAGAATCAGAAGGAGCCAGATTAGAGCAGATTGCTGAGTTAGTTTGAGGTTAAGCAGAGCAATTCATAGGCCAGAAGAGAAAAGCCAGATTGATTAACCAGCTTGGAGAGGAGTTTGAGCCAGAACAGCTGAGTTGAACCAGCCAGCTAAGAGTTCAGAAAGAACCAAGAAAGGGTGAGTTTATTCAGCAGTAAGTCTCAGAGGCTGAAAACATTCTAGCCTCAGTTAGAGTGTACAGAGGTTAGAAGCTTCCAGGACTAGGACTAGGTTAGCAGACAGGGGCAGTAAGTCTCACAGACAAAAATTATCACAGGAGAATAAAAGCTACTTTTGCATATCTCCCCATTCCATGTTCATGAGTGTGAGTTCTGAATCTTCCACCGCTCTGCTTTTAATAATCTGAAACTCGGAGGGGGAAGCTCAGGCCTGCTGACTCAGTGCCTGCTGCATCTGAAATAGCTCTGCTTTAGTCCCAAAATGATTTAAATGCATCTAAATAGCCCTTGGTAATCTGTTGCTCTTTGGAGCCATCCAAAAATTACTATCCTTCCATTATGAATGTCTTCAGAAAACTCTTCTCCCTTCATCATTAGATAATCGATCATTTCGTTTATCTGATGAGGAGAGCTGTGGGATCTGAGGCCTTTAGGAGAGCCACTTCCCAATCCTTGTATAAATAAGGTGAGTGAGTTTGCCTGCCAGGAACTATTCTCTACTTGTGAAGATCCCTATGGATAGAAAAATGTTTTTTTTTTTTTTCTTCCACAGTTCTAGAGTTGGAACCCAGGGTCATCCAGGAGCAAAGTTCATACTGATGGAGCTTGACAGAAGCCTGCTCAAGAGCCCCCTGAAGCCATTTGTGGTAGTTCAGGCCTGTGCCTCCAGCACCTGACCAACTGAAGCAAGAAGATTTAAAGTGGGAAGCCAACCTGGACTTCGTAGTGACAGGATGTTTCAAACTAAGAAGAAAATGGAGTTCTTTGAAAGCCACTCTACTAAAGGACAAAGAGTATTTTAAGTAACAAAAGGAAGGAGTTGTGTTCTGTGTAATTTCTACTGTGGACACACATCCTCGCCTCCTGATATACCTGCTCTGATTCCAAGTGGTTAATTTTTCTGATATGCCAAAAAGACATGCCTCCTCTATCTTCTAGAACAGTCTATGTATGAAAGACCTTAAATTTCAGGTTCCAACATGCCTCCAACCTGGATGGGGAGTGCTATAGTTTGGGTCTGGAATTTCCCCAATGGCCCACACACTAAGGCTTAGTCCCTAGCTTGTCACTATTGGGAGGTAGCCAAAACATTATGAAATGAGACCTTACCAGAGGATGCTGGGTCGTTGGGGCTATGCCATCAAAGGAAATAGTGGTGCGTCATCCCTCCCACTTTCTCTCTTTAACATACCAGCTTCCATGAAGCAGCCATCCTCCACCCCTAGGCACCCCTCTCCGATATCCTGCTTTGACAAAAAGCACAAAATCCTGCATCGACAGTTGATCCTGGAATGAGCCGAAATGAAGGCTTTCCTTTTGTGAGTTAATTAACACAAATAGGACGAGTCCTTGTGATCCCTCAAAAGGAATCAAGCATAAGCTCATCCTAGGGTTGTACTTGGGGCATTGCTAGCTGGGTGCCTGCATGGCTTCTCACTGGTGGATGGAGCCCGTGCAGGTCAGGACAAGCAAGAGCCACATCAGTTAGCATGAAGTAGCACCTTTATACATTTAGACACGTGGAATATGGACCTCCATAGCCGCTCCCACATCCTGCGAAAGGTAATCCTCTCCTATCTCCCTTTTCCTAACACAATCGTCCCAGTCTGGCAAACAAGAACTCCGACTCATCACTTCTCTTGCCTTAGATGCTCATCTAATGTTATGGATCCATCTTGGGAATCTTCTAAAACCTTCCAACTTCGGGCCTTTTTATTATTTCAGTTGCTTTACTTCCTCTGACACCGTTAGCCCTTGTTCAGCTGCTCTGTAAGTACAATGGCATCCAATGCACAGAGCTTTGGCCTAGAGTTTCAGGCATAGTCTTTTCAGGGATGGAAAGTATATGCGTGTGAAAGGCAATGTCTTGAGCTAGGCTGTAGAAATGTGCCTAAGGTGACAGGACTATCCTAGACATCCTAGGATGTCTATTTTTGTGTCTGTTTATGTGTGTGTATATCTATATATCTATATATCTATATATCTATATATCTGTTTTCTCCATGTACATAGCTGTTGATTCCAGGCTGAATGGAGGGATAGCAAGCTCTTATCCCTGACTAAGACCAGCCATAAACTCCTGTCCAGCCTTCCTTTGTTCCACCTTCAGCACACTTGACTCGCCTCCCTCTTGACAGATTTCTCTCTCGGTCTGACTCACACCCAGGCTGAAGGTTCATTGCCATCCATGTGGACCTGTTCCCCTCCATTAGCCCCACCCCCATTGCGTCATCATCTTGCTCTTTCAAAGGTCACTTCACCTTTTCCTTTCCTGCAGATACTCATCATTGAAACGGGAAACTTCCTCTGGACACTGGCTTCTTTCTTGGTCTCTGAGGTGTTTGGTGTCATATTACAGTTCGGGTTTTTCAGGAAGAACCCTGTAAGGACTAATTAATTATTCCCTCCCAGGGATCAAGTTTTCGATCAATCGAAGTAAATGCTGCTAAATGACTGAAAACACAGGGAAAACAGATCAGGATTCCCTGAGATATGGACAGCTCCTTAGGATAGAACCGGAGTCACCTGCCTTTTTTATTTACATTATTCTACCTGCATCAAAAATGGCAGTGATTCTAAAAATCACTTTAAATATTCCCTACCATGGAATTTTTATTTTGTCAGTAGCAATTTAACCTTTTTGTTGAAGTGGCCTAATGTTCCAGTTCACACAAGACTGAGGAGTTTTCCAGAAGGAGAAGCAATCTGTCCTCAAAATCAGGCAGCCCTGGGAACTAAAGCAAGCTACTTCCCCCCACTGGCTCTTTTTAAAAGGAGCTTTTTTATCATCTCTTCCTTTATGCTTTAGGAGCTCCAGAAAACACTGTGTCCCAGAAATACAGTTCCTTCGTTAAGTTCAGCCGCTTTAGACTCTGAAAATAGTTCTGATTTCATTCACTCGGCTACTTTGGAGTTCAGAAGACACTCGTGGCTAGAAGCTTTAACTAGCTCTGGAGTACAGAAAGGACCTGTCTGGTCATGAAAGAAAATCTGGTAGTCAAACACCCCTGCAGAGATAATGACAGCCAGGGACCGGGGCCAGGTTACTACACCTTAGGAGACTCGAACTTGAACTTGAAGGTGAGCTTGAACCCCCCTCCTCTCAAAGTCTGGGAAGGCTGACTGTTGCGTCTCTTTGGAACATGCTCAGAACTCTTTAGAGTAATAGCCCTTCTTCTCTTCCTTTTCCTCTGTCTGTGTTTCCTCTCATGGCCTCCACACGAGCTGCGCTGCTATCCATGTTGAATGCAGCAGTGTTCAAGGTGTGATTACTTGAGCACAAACTTCCACTACTGTCCTCATTTTGTAGTTAGAAATGAAGGCAAAGTGGTAGAACCGTGTCCTCCAGACCATTGATGCTGAGCCCGGATGACTTGGACATCTGAGAGCTACCACCGGTCACGGTAGCTGACGAGTGTTTTCCATGGTGCCGGGTGCTTTTCGTGCCATGTTGCATGTAATTGCCACAAGCTCCCTGAGTGGTAGGAGCCTCCCCCCACCCCACCCCCAGTAGGCTTTCATATTATCCCCAGAACTGAAAGCAAAGCGATGGGAGGAGCAGGATCCAGACTCAAAGCATGGCAGAGTGCGGCACTCTTCATGCTGGTCCCTGTAGCTGAAGGTCTGAGGAAGGTAGATGTGACCAGTCTTGGGTTCCTTGAGAGCTGGCTGTGTTTTAAGTAGAAAAGTAGTGACCATGAGTGAAAAGGAAAGCTGGCATTGGCTGCAGGGGACACTGTCCTGGGCTCTCATAGATCAGTTCAAAGCACACCATTCTGGGCAGGCAAAAACCTCTTAAACCAACAGTGTCCCCAACACACAGGTCAGAGCTTGACATCTGGTTCCGTTACCGAAAGAAAGGAGCACATGCTCTCTGCTGACTTCTCCTTGGTTTGCTTTACACAGAAGGGATTTGATACCAGCGTCCATACAACCTGCTCCTCAATTAAAAAGCAGTTCATAGTCTATATTTTGAGAAGGATATTTTTAAAGGCTAATTTATCAAGCTGAGATTAAAAGCAAAGATCATACATCTTTTTTTGTGATAATTTTTTTTTAACCTCATCCTTTCTTAACTCCACATTTAATAGCTCTGCCTCAGTTGTGCCATCTGGTTTAGACACAAGCCAGTTCCTGCCGGCACTGGGGAAGAAGCCTGAGACTTGTCACTTGGCCGCAAACAGGGAGAATAAACAGGGCATTCGGGATGGCAGCTCCTTTAGAGGGCAAAGGCAAATTGCCTTTGTTGTTTGTTGTTTGTTCTTTCCCTGGGTCTACGGAAAACAAATTTATCTTAGAATGGGCAGCATTAAACTGAACGTTGGCCTTCTTTCTGCTTTCAGGTCAAGTGAGAACACTAGGCTCCCCGTGGAGGAAAAGAAACAGCACTGGGCTGTTTTAGCATCTGTTGACAAGACTTTTTTAGCTGAAGATATTGGGCAGGGGCCATTTCATTTCCCTGGAGGTCTGAGGATTTATGGCGTTGTCACCTGAAATTCCACAACTTTCTTTCTCTGGTGCTACGGAGGTGGGCTCCCCAACCCACCAAAACACTCACTGGTGGCTCACCAATTCCTGCCCCAATCCTGCCTCAGACATCGTCTTTCTGAGAAAAAGAAGGCAAATTGGCCCAGAGAAGAGAACAGAAGACACCTGTGAAATAATTGTGGCAAATGAGGTAGGCGATAGTTCACTTGGCATTTTGAAATGAAATCCGTGGGGGAAGAGGGATAAAGAGAAAGGAGGAGAGAGAAGCCAGAGTCTGCTTTGTGCCCAGTGCTGAAGATAAGCCAGGGAGCACCCCCATGGCAGGCTTTGTCAAAGGTGCCTCTCTGCAGCGGTATGCAAGGCACAGCAAGGCGCCACTCTCCAGAGACTTCACAGTGTTCCCGAGCCAGTGAAGTCCGGCCAGCTTCAGCTTCCCCTTACCTCCTCCGAGGGTGGTATAGTGGTGATTCTGAAATCGTATGAGGTTTGCCGAGAGTGAGCCAGATGGTGCTTAAAGATTTTATTGCTTTTGGTACACTTTTTAAAGTTTAGCGTGTCCCACTTAAAAAAAAAAAAAAAAAAAAAAGTACCTGTCTTAGTTAGGATTTTGTTGCTGTAAAAAAACACTCTATAATGGAAAACATAATTGGGACTAACTTAACAGTTTCAGAGGTTCAGTCCATTCTTGTCATGGCGGGAAGCACGGCAGCGTGCAGGCAGACATGGTGCTGGAGAAGGAGCTGAGAGTTCTACATCTTGATCAGCAGGCAGCAGGAGGGGACTGTGTCATCGGATGGATCTTGAGTGTAGAGACCTCAAAGCCCACCACCACAGTGGCACACTTCCTCCAACAAGGCCACACCTCCTAAGAGTGGGTTGGTACCCCTTGGGGGCCTCCCCTTCTCTGAGAAGAAGAAGAGTGGGGAATGGGTGGGAGGGGAGAGTGAGGGTGGAACAGGGAGGAGAGGAGGAAGGGGGCTAGGATCAGACTGTAAATAAATAAATAAATAAATAAATAAATGAATAAATAAATAAATAAATAATGAGAAAGATCAAAGAAGAACAGACTCCCAAAAGTTATCTTCTGACTTACACAATCTCATTATGATGCCATTACGAGCCACCCCTTACACACACACACATATACACACACACACACAGACACACACGCACACAAATAAAGGTAATAAAAATTACAATAAACTCTTCATTTTTAAAATTTGGTTCTGTTCTCTGAAGCTAAAAGCATCTTATCTGAAACTGAATGCAAGTTGCAGCCCATCAAATCAAATGGTTCTTCCAAAACTCGATGAGAAGTGAGTCCTTTTCCAGCCAAGCACAGTGCCCTAGCCTGTGCTCAGCTCTTACAGTCTCAGAACAGAGTGTAGTTAAGAACAGAGAGAGACTGCAACCACAACCTCCAGTCCCAGCCCTCAGGGAGGCAGAGACAGGCAGATCAGCCTGGTCTACAAAGTGAGTCTCAGAAAAGAAAAGAAAAAAAAGAGAAAAAGAGAGAGAGACCCCAGGCCACGATTGCCTCATCGGAAGCAGTCAGAAGGAAGCAGAGCAAGAGTGTGTCTGTCTCAAAAAGCTGTCTGATCACAGGCAGCAGGGTAGGCAGCTCCAGGTTGGTCAAGTGTCAGCCCCAAGATCCTGCACTGTGATCTTGACGATCTAAAGTCAGAGCCGCTGTAGGAAATGGTAACGTTTTGGCAATTGGAATGGGAATACTTGAGAGAAACCAGATGTATTTAGTGCCCCAAGGCCTGCCTGTGGCTAGTCCATTCCATTCATTCCGCAAGCCTGTTTGAGGCCTAGGCTCTTGCAATGTATGAAAATTTGTGATACACAAGAAGAAAATGCCTGTGACAGAATTTATATAATGACTACAAACCAATTTTCAGACAATAAATACTACAGTAGAAAAAAAAATAACAAACATTTTCTTTAGGAGAAAAACAAGCGAATAAATAATAAATATAAGAAAAAAAGTTTAAAGTATCATATTTTTACTAATTACTATTACATAATCTTAAAACAGACAACTTGGGTTTCTTTTTTAGTTTCTTTGTAACAGGAAATCTGACATAGATTATAAAACATGTTTTCTGGAAACACAGTGTGATGGATGCCTCTCTAGAGTTTGTGTAAAATCAGCACTTGGCTGTTGCTTTTAGCTGTCCCTTGTCTGCTCAGCAGCCAGTTGTCCCACATGGACTGATCAAAGTGACTCACATTAAAATAGTCCACTTCACTCGAACCTGCTGTATAGCTGAGGTTCACCTTGAACTCCTGTTGTTACATAGACTTTCTAAAGGAAAGAAATTTATTTAGCTCAAAGTTCTGAGGGCCTGAGGGCATATGGCACTGAAATTGGCTTGCCTTTACTGGGAACCCCACGGTGGCTGGAATCCCAATGGTTGGGCACATGCAGGATTGTTATACCCAGTTCTCGAGCCCCCAAACGATCTACAGGAATCGAATCCGTTGCAAAACACATGAGGGTCTTTTTTTTGTAAATTACAAGCTGCAGCTTGGGCCCACACAGGCCAACCGCTTCGGCGGTGGGAGCTGAACGCGCCGTGCCCAGGTTAGTTGGGTGATTTAAAGATTCTGGTCCATCCCAGCATGCTCAAGGCAGGGGCGATTCCTGCCTGGCAAGCATCTATTGGTCAAGATGCCACATTTTGAATTGATTGGCTATAGGAAGGTCCCCAGACCATAATGACCTGGTGTCCCTCCCTAGAGGGATGGGCCAGTTTCCTAGCAACTGCTATCTCTAGTAGGTGGGGAAAGAATGCAGTAAGGCTGTCCTTCCCCTCAGGGCATTACTAGATTTCTCCACCCACATAGTTCAGGCCTTAACCAATAGCTGCTAATTTTTAATCTATTTGGTCTCTCAGGATGAAGAGGTCACAGAAGGCAGAGGAGAAAACCGAGCAGCCAGGCTGTGGCCGGGGTTGCTCTCTTCTATATTGTTTTGTCTTTTCTCTTCTTGTGGTATTAGAGGCTAAACTCTGGCTCTCACACGTGCATGCATATTTGTCAAGGTCTCTGTCCCTGAGCTATATTCCTACCCCTTTATGTGTGTGTACATAAATGTATGTGTGTGCATATATATATCTGTGTGTGTGCATATATACATATTTATAACTATAGTAATATGTTACTCTTGAGACAGGGCTGGGGTGTAGTTGAGGGCTTGCCTAACATGCACACAGACCTAGGTTTGATCCCCTGACACAGCATGAGCCACACTGGTGGTGCTTGTCTATTACCCCAGTACATGGGAAGTAGAGGCAGGACCATCAAGAGGTTAAGACCAAGTTTAAGGTCATCCTATGGCAAGTTCAACTCCAACTTGGACTATATAAAGATCAGTCTTAAATAAAAACATCGAAACAAGTTCTTGCTGCATTGTCCGGGATGACCTGAGCTCACTCTGTTACCCAGGCAGGCCTTGGACTTGCCCTCTCCCACCTGCCCCATCGTCCTATGCAGCTGAGAGTACAGGATGTCACACTGGCCCAGCAGACCGGTTCTTTTATAAGAGCCCCTTACGAGAACTCAATCAGAGTCCAATAAGAACTACGTTAATTTTTTTTTTTTTTTTTTGAAGAGCAGCACTTTAGGATGGCATAAAGACCTTCTACTACGGCTGGACAGATGGCACAATGGTTAAAAGCACTGGCTGTTCTTGTGGAAGACCTGGGTTCAAGTCCCAACACTCTTGGGGTGGCTCAGAACCGCTTGTAACTCCCTGGCACCATCTTCTGGCACCATCAGGCACACTGCACTCATGCACACAGGCAAAACACCCATATACACACATACAAAGACGATGATTATAAAGATCTCCCACCACATCAATCTCGTGAGGGTCCGCCAAACCTTAACACGGCCACAGTGAAACTCCGCTTCAACACAGGATGTCCCTCCTCCCAGGGACACTTGAGGAATACATTCAAACCCTTTCAGAAGCCAGATGTAGTCCACCAAAACAGCATCAATTTCCAAATACCCAATGTTCGTAAGAGAATAGGAAAGGGGCACATTCAGATATTGTGGGCGTATAAGTTAATACAGTCTTATAGAAAAGATTTAATAATATATGGCACAAAAAAAAAAAAACTAGAGAGAATTTCAGAAAAAAAAAGGTGTATTCAAGGATCCACATACAGCAACACTAAGGGGAGAAAACTGAAGACACCCAAGGTTTCTAACAGCAGAATAATGGCTAAATAGATGTCAGCATGAATGCATGATGGAGTCCTTTTCCAGTGGCTTCCTCTGTAGATCAGTCAGTGGCAGAGCACATGCAGGAAGAAAAACCTGCCATAAAAAAAAAAAAAAAAAAAAGGATTCCTGAGAAAAATAAATAACTTTCAAAAATATATCCTATAGCATGTGTTGAAAATACAAAGATGCAGTTTTCCGTATAACATACTTTGATCTAAAATGAGAAAATGGGTTACTGTATCATATATCATAGAAAAGAGCCTGAACATGCACGCATCAGATGTCAGTTTGTTTTCTCTTTGTTGGAATTACATCAATTTTATTTTTTTTTAATATTTTCCAAATTTTATGAGACACTACTTTTGTCATCGGAATAAATTAGGTACTAAAATTTATGTGCATGTGAGTCTGGAGAGATGGCATGTGGTTTAAGGCACAGGCTGCTTTTCCAGGGGACCCAGGTTCAATTCCCAACACCTATATGAGAGCTCACAAATGCTTGTAACTCCAGTTTCAGGAGATACCAGAGGCCTTCTTCAGACTTCCTGCAGTTACTACACACGTGTGGTACACAGACGTACATGCAGGCAAAACACTCACACATATACATTTAAAAAAAAATACATGCAGCGACATAGATATATTTTAAGTAGTTGCTAAAATTGTGGGTTCCATTTAATGCTACATTTTTATATTTCAGTTTGTGATTGTTGGAGAGCAAAAGTGCTCACAGGGAATGTACTTCCTTCCTGGAGTATCAATCAAAGCTTCCTCCTTGGCCTTAACACAACCCTTCACCAGCATATGCATTTTGTCCAAGCTAATTGGCCAGGACTCATAAAATTGGGGATTTTTAAATACATTTCAACAATGTCAGGAATCCAGTTGCTTAGGATTACAATACAAAACATTTCCAGAACTCTGGCTTCTAGCTGGGAGAGAAGAAAAAAAAAAAAAAATGGAAGCAGATGAAGTTCTCCAAATGCTGCCAGACTCTTCAGCGCCACGCCTGCTTTAGACACGCCTACTGAAGGAGGCCTGTTTCAGAGACACCAGGCTTCCTGGCACCTCTACAGAGCTCTGCTGAGAAGTGCAATGGAGAAGTGGGTAGGGGGGAGACCTGTGTTCCAGGCTAGGGGCCCATAGCATACTCCGTCTTGCCTTCACCTTGTGTTTGGGAAGGGCACATTCTTGCAATGTTAGCACACATGCTAGCCGAGGACCCTACATGTGTAGATATGAGGCACTGTCTAAAACGGAAGGGCAGGACACATTTGGGTAGAGGGGACTTGTCACATCAGTCTACCCCAGAGGTAAGACAGTCCTTGTGTTACATATGCGACTCAGTCCCCAGCACTTAAAAACTGAATGAAAAACCCACTGGCACACAGAAATCTCATAACTGTTATTAAAAATCAGTTTGCACTGCGGCGAACCCTCCATCCTACCTTACCCTGTAACGTGAACATCCTCTACCCACCGTGACTCCCAGTTCCAACACTGGAAAAGAAGGAGTTGAGCGATGGCCACATCTGTTTAAAAATTAATTGATTTTTTTTTTTAAAGCTTAAGTATACGATTGTATGTACTCATCATGGCCAGCGTGGTATCTTGAAGTGCGTACACATGGTAGAACACTTAGATCTTGCTAATTACCTTCTGTTGTTAGCATTTTGTATG